ACCACCACACCACTGAACACCACCACACCACTGAAAACCACACCACCACTGAACACCACACCACCACTGAATACCACCACACCACTGAATACCACCACACTGCTGAATACCACCACACCACTGAACACCACCACACCAGTGAACACCACCACACCACTGAATACCACCGCAACACTGAACACCACCGCACTGCTGAATACCACTAGCACCACCGCACCACTGAATACCACTACACCACTGAATACCACCACAACACTGAATACCACCACACCACTGAATACCACCACACCACTGAATACCACTAACACCACTGAACACCACCACACCACTGAACACCACCACACCACTGAACACCACCACACCACTGAACACCACCGCACCACTGAATACCACCACACCACTGAATACCACCACACTACTGAAAACCACCACACCACTGAACACCACACCACCACTGAACACCATCACACCACTGAACACCACCGCACTGCTGAATACCACTAGCACCACCGCACCACTGAATACCACTACACCACTGAATACCACCACACCACTGAATACCACCACACCACTGAATACCACCACACCACTGAATACCACACCACCACTGAACACCACCACACTACTGAAAACCATCACACCACTGAATACCACCACACCACTGAACACCACCGCACCACTGAACACCACCGCACCACTGAACACCACCGCACTGCTGAATACCACTAGCACCACCGCACCACTGAATACCACTACACCACTGAATACCACTACACCACTGAATACCACTAACACCACTGAATACCACCACACCACTGAACACCACCACACCACTGAACACCACCACACCACTGAACACCACCGGCGTTTCTTCTGGCCTGCGGCGAAGAACGATAGCTCTGGCATAATCCTTTTTTTTTTTTTTTTTTTGCGCAAGCGCAATTTTCCAGAAGTGAAATATAATCAATGAAAATCATGCTTTAAAATAGAGTTCTTTGTTTACTTCCGACCAAAATAAAAATTAGAAATCAGGAACATATTTTCATAATTTTTGACAAGTCTTTTAACGCATTCTCTGTTATACCGGAAGTCCAATAAATCCTGGTCTCAAAAAAATGGATTATGCCAGAGCCCTCGTTCTATGCCGCAAGCCAGAAGAAACGCAGGTTCTGGGTACGAGATTGCAATAACAAATAACATGGCTACCTTCCCCTTTCCTTGTTGTGTTTGATAAATAGCCAAAACAGCCAAAACACAAAAAGAAAACGGAAGAAATAATTTGAATGACAAAACAATTATTGAGCTCGGTTATCAAAAAATATCTTGATCAACCCCGTCTAATAATTATTGCCCACTAATCTCGCAAACTTTCCCTCAGTAACGTTGTGTCATCAGTTTGACTTCTTCTTCGATGCTTTATTCATTGTCGTTTCCAGGCTTTTGAGAAGGGTTACTCGGTTGATAAAATTCACGAGTTGACAAACATCGATCCCTGGTTCCTTTACAAACTAAAGGAAATCATCGACCTTAGCAATGACTTCAGCAAGCTTAAAATGTAAGTATATGCTTTACTAATTACTGGATTGTCTTATCCATCGCGCGAAAAGTGCATTCTTGCGCAAGAGTACGCATATATGGATTTGAATGACGTGTTCATAGATTCTGGGCTCATAGATTGGCTTGGCAGCTGATGATGTAATTCTGGGCACTAGAAGTACTATAATTTAGCAGTAAAAGAAGATTTTAGTTTTTAGTTGTTATTTAGTTAATAGAAAGCTACACTATTCTATATTCTATTATTTTAAAAATCAAAAAATCAAAACGGAAAAAGGAGCAAAAGCTTGAGTAGGTATAATGTTTAGGTCACCCATCCAAGTGCTAACCCTCCTCAGCCGAGCTTGACTCAGTATCTTGAACGACAACGATTTATCCACTGGACCACGGTTCCAGGTGAATCAGCATAACAATAGACGTGAAAACAATGCACGAATAGACTAGACTTTTTAATATTATTTTTTCAACCGATTCCGTGCGTGGCAGAGATGCAAGGGATTAGCCGATATGGTCTGGGGGCCGGCTGGTTTCTCCCCTGATGCTTCGGCTAGAACATTTTCTTGCGTAATTCGTACACCCAAGGGCAGAAGGATTTAATCGCCGTCAGGTCCGAAGTCCATACGCCGCCTCAGCTCTGCGGATGTCTCGGGGGTATGGCACAGGGTAATTGCATTTCTTTTTATTTCTTTTGGTGGGTTAGAATCCCGTCTTATCCACATAAAATTTTTCTTTTTTTTTTTAATCCATTTTTTTATTAGATTTAAAACTTTAACAATAATTATGGCAACCTTTTAAGTGAAAAAAATATTCCTATTCGATAGGTTATTAGCCTGTATAAGTTCGATCAGACGTTATCAGTCATATAAGCAATATCGATCCGCGAAAAGTAGACCTACGCTTTCCTATCTTTACTGGCAAAGTTTACTGACAAGAACATTTACTACACTTGGATCATCATATGTCTATATTTACTGTCTATTTTGTGGCCTAAAAAAGGGCAAAACCTGCAAATATTTTAATATCATGTAGAGAATACCTTAAGGAAGAAGATCGTCTTAGACAAGTTAAACGAAATCATTCTTTTCTATGAACCATTCCATTATCTTTTGACTAACTTTGCAACGAGTCCTGTGTGCATGATACAGGTAACCCAGTGAACGCATGTAGGGCGTCTTGTTTGGAGTCAGATTCTCCGGTACAGTTTTCCTAACGTTTTTACTTTACTACGTCAGTAAACCTCAAAACGGCCCCAACATTTAACCAAACACCGATTTGACCCACGAATTTAGCCAAAATTTGACCAAACATTGTTAGCAGACCATGACAAATATTCTATAAGGATTTGTATGGGAGAATGTACTGGGCCCGGTTGTACGAAGCCTGGGTAGCGCTATCCGACGGATAAATCTGAATACCACTAACACCACCACACTACTGAACACCACCACACCACTGAACACCACCACACCACTGAA